GCGCAGCGGCATTGGGCGGGGTACCTGCAAGACACAGCCGGGCCATCAGGACAGGATTCCAGAGTCCTTTTTCCAAAGCAGGACCCAGTCCTGGCTCCCCCTCACCACCCTCACCACCAAGCTGGTGCATTCCACCCTGTAGACAGAAAACCAAGTCAAGACCTCAGATTCTTCAGTACCAGAGTTCTTTCTGAATCAGAAGAGCTGAGCCTGAGATAAAATACACAGCCATTCTGAGGGTGCACAAAGCCTTTGTGTACTGCACAAGTTTAGCCTGGTCGTTCTGTACCCGGGGCAGTCTAGCCTCCTGGGGGACATTTGGCAACTTTTGGAGAGACTTTTGGTTGTCACAATAAGGGCAAGGATGTAGGCATCTAGTGGGTAGAGGTCAGGATGCTGCCAGACAGCCTGTGGTGCTCAGGGCAGCCCCACCATGACGAATCATCTGATCTAAAATGTCAACAGTGCGGAGACTGAGCAACCCTGCACCAGCCGCATGCCCAGCCCCATCTCCGGGTGCCTTCCTGCATCACCTCTTGCCCCATTCAGTGCCCGTTTTAGCACTGGCCCCAGTGACACAGCCTTCTCTTCCCAGAAGTTCAGCAGAAGGCCCCTGAGTTTAAGCACACGCTGGTAGAGCGCCCAGATATGGCAGCTCGCGGCCTGCCCTCAGGTGCAGGGACCGGGCGCGTCCGGGCTTTGGCAAATAAAGCACATGTCCCCACATCATTGTCATGATAAATACTTTTCCAGAAATAGGCACAAAGTTCTTTTTCCCTTGTCTTACATGCGCCTTGGATCTCGGAAGAGAGAGGTATTTGTTTGGGTGGGAAGCAGGTAGATTTAGGGTGGGATCCTATCCTGGAGGCCACCTTTGGTCACACTGAGCTGAGTCCAGCGTCAGACGTGAAGCCGGGTAAATCCTGTCTATGCAGCCACTAAAACGACACCTGAGTCTGACACCTCTGTCCTCCGTGTAGACGCTCTCCCTCAAATACTGCACAGTGACCACCACCGCCCAGAGCATCCACTCACCTGAGAAGGTGCCCATGAAGGCCAGGCCCAGGGCAATGTCGTTGTAGCCAGGGCTGTGGGAGCCTTGGACCCTCCAGCCCACTCCTTCGTAAACGACACCATCCTGGCCCACAAGGAAGCTGGAGGGCAGCCAGGGGAGATGGAGAGCGGGTGAAAGGGAGGCACTCGAGGACTGTCCATTCGTTCATTCATTCAATCATTCATTCATGTCTACTCATCAGACATTGATCAGCCATCAAGTTCTAAGTACTGAGTTACAGAAAAGAGGCGTCAGCCAGCCGGCTCTAGTGGGGGACGGCAGGGCCTGAAGCCAGGTTTTGTAGCCTTTACTGATCCCCACCTCCCACCAACGGCTGATTTCAAGCTACCAATACTTTGACAACCAGCTCCCAAAACTCCTGAATCTCCAACCGCCACCTCTCCTGAGCCTCAGCCCCAGCGCCCCTCCCCTGCCCCAAGTAGCTCCCAGTCTAGGAAGGAGAGAGTGACAGCTTTCAGCCCTGCAACGTGGCCCTCCCTACACCTCGCCAAGGGAAGCGGCTCCCCCAGGAGACCTGGGTCTCCTTAGGATTGAGGACAGAGCACACTTCTCCCCGGCCTGCCCTGACCTCTGTGCCTTCGACCCTCCCACCTCCTCACACATTCTCTCCCCTGAGTTTCCACTGCACCGCACTCTCCCAGCGGCCTTCTTCCCTGGCCGCCCCCCTCTGGACACGTCGCATCGTCCTGTGCCCTGCCCTGTGCAGGTGGGGTTTCTCGGGATGTGGCCCTAACACTCTTCTTTTCACTCAACACACCATCCCAGGACTAACCGATCCACTTCCCTAGCTTCAGCTGCCACGCAGGAAGTCCGTGAACCCTCCCCTGGACCCGCCTGTTCCCCTGTCTGGGCTCCCCATCGTGGTGAAAAGCACCACCACCACCACTCCTCCCACAGCCCCACCAGGATCGTGGGCAGCAGCCCGCCCACTTCATCCGCGCACTACCCGAGGCTTGTCCTCCGCATCTCCCCATCACTCTCCCTGATCCACCCCTGCATCCTCGCCATGAACCACTAACCTCCAATGACTTCTTAGACTCCTGCACTTCTCTCCATGACAGCTGCCGGCCCCCCAGCCATATCAGCACCCATCCTGCATGGGCCGCAGCACTGTCCGCAGATGCATCTAACTGCCGCCAGTTTTGCCCTGTTCCACTCTGCTCCTGGCACTGAGAGTTACCTTTCTGATACAAATCTTATCTCAAACTGCTTTGAGTCCCTTGTCACAAAGTCCAAACTTCCCTGTCCAGCTGACAGGAGCCTTCAGGATACAGCCGCTGTTTGCCTCCCTGGCCTTATCGCTCACCATTCCCCTCTTCGCCATCCGTTTCTATCAGGATAAATTTCTCTCAGCTCCTCAAAGGCACCATTCTCCAGCTGGCAGCCAAGCCTTCCCGCGGAGGTCCTTTCTCTACGCCTGAAACCCTCTCCCCTTCCTCCTCTGACAGCTCCCACTCACCACTGAGGTCCCGGCTAAGCTGCTGCTCCCGCAGACGCGCTTCCCCCATGCCCACTCCCCCAGATACCCAGCAACAGTTAGGAACACCTCCCCTCTGCACCGAGCGTCC